GAGAGAGAGAGAGAGAGAGAGAGAGAGAGAGAGAGAGAGAGAGAGAGAGAGAGAGAGAGAGAGAGAGCGAACAAAACCTCAGTTAACTCAGCTTGTCTGCTGTCAAAATGATGTACCATCAAAAAATTATGTTTTGGAAAAGAGTTCTAATTCATTTCAAAGAAGTTAGTCCCCTTTTATTGATGGTGCGCCTGTTTAAAACTTTAGTATTTCATAACAATAAAAAGAAAATTGTAAAACTGACTGCCACAGCAGATGTATGCACAATCTAGGCAGCCATTTTATTTTTTTATTTATTCATTCATTTTTTTATGAAAAAGTAAATGTATTGGAAAAAGCTCCCTCAGGATTACATAATAAATCAATGGAAAATCTATTTTGCAGATCCACTGGGGAGAAGGTGGATATGTTTCTTTCTTTTCTGAAACATATGGGACCTCAGTTTTGTAATCTGTACTGCAACACCTGGCAAAAAGTATGGAATCACCAGTCTTGGATGAACACTCATTCAGAAATTTCATTCTATAAAACAAACTCAGATCAAAAACATGATACAATAATAAATAAGGTCATTCCAAACTGCAACTTGTTGACTTTCAGGAACATTCAAAGAAATGAAGAGAAAACATTGTGGAAGTCAGTTAATGTTACTTTTATTGACCAAGCACAGGGAAAAAATATGGAATCACTCAATTCTGAGAAAAGAAAGTATGGAATCACTCAAATTTGAGGTAGAAAAAAAGGACACGCCCAGTCAATTTTCTTTCCCTAAATGAACACCAGCCTCAGATTAGATCTGCTCGTTAGTCTGCAGTTAAACACTTGCAGTCATGACACCTTGGAGGGCTGCTGGATGAAGTGGAGTGGCAAGAACCATGGATCCAACAAGAGATATGTCTCTTGAAACAAAAGAGAGGATTGTGAAACTTCTTGAAAAAGGTAACTCTTCACTCATGGTTGCTAAAGATGTGGGATATTCACAGTCAGCTGTATCCAATATATGGACCAAATACAAACAACATGGAATGGTTGTTAAAGCCAAGCGTACTGGTAGACCAAGAAAGATATCAAAGCATCAAGACAAACAACTTGCCACTTGTCTTGAAAACCGAAAAAGTTCCAAATAAACAGGTGAAGCATAAATGGGAGGAAGCTGGAGCCAATGAATGTGAGCGAACTTTAAGAAATTGCCTAAAGGAAATGGGATCTCAATACAGGAAAGCTAAAAGAAAACCATCATCGACACCTAAACAAAAAAGAACAAGACTGCAATGGGCTAAGAAGAGGCAATCATGGACTGTGGATGACTGGATGAAAGTTATCTTCAGTAATGAGCCAAGCTTTGGGCAAGGTGATGATGCTGGAACATTTGTTTGGTGCCATTCCTGTGAGATTTATGAAGAGGACTGCCTGAAGAAAACAACCAAATTTCCACAGTCCTTGATGATATGGGGCTGCATGTCCGGCAATGGCACTGGGGAGATGACTGTGGTTAATTCTTCTATCAATGCACAAGTTTACATTGACATTTTGGCAAGTTTTCTCATCCTTTGAATTAAACAGATGTTTGGAGGTGATGAAATAATTTTCCAAGATGACAATGCATCGTGCCATATAGGYCAAAAACAGTAAAGGCATTCCTTGGAGAAAGACACATTCAGTCGATGTCATGGCCTGCAAATAGTCCAGATCTCAACCCAATTGAAAACCTGTGGTGGAAATTGAAAAAAAATAAAAATAAAAAGGTCCACAAGAAAGCTCCGACCTGCATAGCCGATCTGGCAACTGCTATCAAAGAAAGTTGGCACCAAATTGATGAAAAATACTGTTTGTCACTCATCAAGTCCATGCCTCAGAGACTGCAAGCTGTTATAAAAGTCAAAGGTGGTGCAACTAAATACTGGTGATGTATTTTGAATGGTCTTTTGTTTATCTGTTTTTTCATGATTCCATACCTTTTTCCTCAGAATTGAGTAATTCCATATTTATTTTCCCTGTGCTTGGTCAATAAAAGTAACATTCATTGACTTCCACAGTGTTTTCTCTTCATTTCTTTGAGTGTTCCTGAAAGCTAACAAGTTGCACTTTGGAATGACATTATTGCATCATGTTTTTGATCTGAGTTTGTTTTACAGAATGAAATGTCTGAATGAGTCCTCATCCAAGACTGGTGATTCCATACTTTTTGCCAGGGTTGTATCAAATTTGCAATAACAGTTAAATTCTGATGCAAGTATAATCTTATTAGAAAAAGACTGTACAAAAGACATCAGCTCTTTTTTGTTTGTTCTTTTTTTGTTTTGTTTATTGTGTGTTTCTTTACTCAGGTGCTGTTAACTAGCAATAACCTTCCAAAAAAGGAGCTAATGATGGGCTTAAACAAAGACGAAGGGACTTCCTTTCTGGTTTATGGGATGCCTGGTTTCAACATCACTGGTGAAAGTCTCATCTCCAGGGATGAATTCCTAAAAGGTGTGCCACTAACCATGACCCGTGAAAGTGATGTCACAAGAGAGACAGCCATTTTTCAGTACACTGATTGGAGTGATGTGAAGAACAGCACAAAAAACCGAGACTCACTTGGTAGCCTAGTTGGAGACCAGCTGTTTAACTGCCCTGTGCTGGAATTTGCTAGCAGGTAAGGCACAGTCTTAGTTGTAAAAAAAATGTGATCTTGAGCTTTGAAAGTTAATAAAATTCACTTAAAAATTTAAACTAGTATTTTTTAACATGTATTGCCAGAAAGGGAAACAATTCATTGTATTATACTGTATTTATTATGTAACCTGTTGGCAATATAAATATGCTTCTGTTTTTATTTCTTTATTTATTTATTTATTTTCTCAGATACTCCAAAGGTGGTGGTAAGACATTCCTGTATTTGTTTGACCACCGGTCATCTGTTAACCCTTGGCCAAAATGGATGGGCATTATGCACGGTTTTGACATAGAATTTGTCTTTGGAATGCCTCTAAATACATCCCTTGGATACACCAAGAATGAAGTTAACATGACCAAGAAGTTTATGAAGCACTGGGCCAACTTTGCTCGAACTGGGTAGGCTAACCAGTGGGTCACTCACTGACCATTGTGACGCCATTGACCTTTGACTTTCATGTCTTTCTCTTCAGGAATCCACAGATTGATGGTGCCTGGCCAGTGTTTACCTCTGAACAGCAGGAGTACATAACTTTGAACTACAACCATCCAGAACAAAGAAGAATGATGAGAGCCACAGAGTGTCAGCTCTGGAACAAATTACTGCCTCAAATACAGAAGACCTCAGGTTAGTCACATAACACACACACACACACACACACACACACACACACACACACACACACNCACACACACACACACACACACACACACACACACACACACAAAAACCTCGCTGTCCACAATCTTCACATACAAACTTGGCAAAGGAGGTGTTTATTTATTATTTTTCCTGTAGAAAAGTTTAGCAATGCTGCTTCAGTGCTCCTCACAGTCTTTTTTTTATTTTGTTTTTATTTACAGAATATTGAGTGGAACACATTGTACGTTTATTTATTCATTTTATCGAACAGAACAAGATGAACACTACACTATAATTACATATACCATGTCTTTTGTCAACTTTTTTTGGGGTAGAAAAACTGCATGTCCTACATTTTTATTATGGTCAAAAAGTAACCTTTTAACTTACAGTTGGCTTCCTTTTTTATATTAATAAGGACAAAACAGTCATCAAAACTTATTTATTATGAATTTTCAAAATTATTTATCGTAAAAAATAAACAATGACCTAATGAAAATCATACGTACCACGCATTGKTTTTTTCATTTTGTGGTGTTGCAAAGTTCCAAGGCATCTGCACCTGTTTAACATGAGCTACAGCACCAGCTAGTATCTGTGTCTTAATGTAAAATATTTTTGTTGATAGTACTTTCTGACAGGTAATATGTTTATCTGGCTTTAACCAATAGAAAAAAAAAATCAAGTTATAAAACAATTTAAGACAAACATAATGACATCCATGTTTGGTGTGTGTGCACAATTCAATCTGTTGTGCAAAAGTGATATAACTTTGTAAGATGCTTAGACGAAGACTATTTTATAACAACTATTTTTGTTTATTTTCCACAGATGCGCTGCTGTCTTGCTTTAATGCAAGTGGGATTGTACTTCACTCCAATTACCTATTTCTCATTATTTTACTGGTTATGTCTTCAAATTACTGGCTTAATCTTGAGAACTGTTTTTTATTTGGCTAGCCTAAGAAAGATTTTACTCAGTTAATATGTTTGCATAACAAAGCAAGTGTACAACAAATGAGTGTAAATGAACAACACCTTTTTAAACAATTATTATTCTTTTTAAGTGGTACATACATACAAAGCAGCTGACTTCTTATGCATCTATCTGACAAGTAAAAACAAGTCCTTATCTAAAGCCTGTAGCCCTTTGCCACATCAGATGTTCCCATTTATGTTGTTGCTGTTCCACTTTAGTAATTTAAACTGATGGAACAGAYGTGACTCAGTGACACATCAGTCTGTGTTTATACACAGCAAGCCTGTGTCTCAGAATCAACTGAATAGTTACAGCGAATATTTGGACAACAGTTTGACTCTGCAAGTATCTCGTTGCTCGCTCAGAGGTGCTTCGCTGGATCAACTTTTGCATTGTTGCATACTGTGTTTCATCAAGCAACATTGAAAGTGATGTGAGAGATGTCCTTAAAAGTTGCAAGTGATGAAAAAAAAATCCTAATTTTCAAATTTAAGAGTTATCGGGGATTGCATTGATGCATCCCTTAGTGTACTAATCAGTGATGACCATATATTGGAAAATAAACAGCATTTCTTTATCTTGTTGTTGACTGATTTTCTATTTCTATTTTTTTTAAATAAACGTAAAAGAATTACAGTAGCAATTCTGAAAAAAAGTGCATATCACCTGTCACCTTTCATTTCAAAGTGGTCTATAAAATAATTATTTTTTTGCAAGTTCTATCCAAATTTGCCCTGTAGTTTATGATATGGGACTGGCCAAAGCAAAACCAGGAACAAGTCTCCCTGGGCTATAGTATTTTGTCAGGACATAAAGTGACAGCTATAAAAGACAGGCTCATAAAAGCTAAGCTCATTTGGATAATTCTGTAACAAGAGACATTTAAAACATTTAGAGTTAACAAGAAAAAAAACATTTAAACCATGGTAAAGCAGGAATGTTTGTGATCTCAGATGTCAGTTGAGTCATAGACACACATCATTTGACTGAGATGGGCGACTAGCAAGAAAACAAGTTCAGACATGAAAACAAAAACAGAGACGGGGAAATAAGACTTACATTAGGCTGCAGAAATGGGAAAATATAAATAGATAAATATTGATGGCAAGAGGATACAAAAATAGGGTTTGGGTTCCATTTTTGAAAGGTTGAAACAAAAAGAATAAGGGAGAGAAGTAGCAAAAATAAGCAAATATAAAAAAATTGAGACTGCAACAGAAAAAAATAGGTGACTTTTGTCATGCAGACCAAGAAAATACATGAGCATGTAGAAGGTGATGGG